TCACCATCAGCGGCCCACCTCGCTTCCATAGCATATAACCCTAAATAATGATATCCAGTAATCTAAACACCACGCTTAAATTACCAAATACTACTCTAATATCATCGTCATGACATAGAGTCATCGTAAATACGATCATTATACCCACACCATTGCATCTCCCAGATAAGCTAGCATCGTAATAAATATAACTTGGACATATAATAAAGTTGGTATTCATATACTCGGAAAGTAATATAATACCGCAATAGTATAAAAAAGAATATTCTAATAAAAGTACAAGTCTTACAAAAGAAGTAAAAGCTACTAGAGCCATACCCGAATTCTTCCTAAGACTCCGAGGACTGAAGATTCTATTTCTATTTCTATTCCACTATACTCTACAGACTATACTAAACTTAAGAAATGTATGAAGCTTCTTGCTTGAGGTGTGTGGAGAAATGGAGAGAGTGAAGTCCTTTTATAGCCTCCTAATGACGGTTGTGATAGTTGGAATGGTCGGAAATGCCTTCCAACCGTCATTGGGATGCAATCCTGGATGTACACGCCGAACTCTGGCCTCAACGATGGAGATGGGGGTTCGGCCGAACCATGGGCTGGTCCAATCTAGCCCATTTTTGGCCGGCGGCCACCTGGACTTCTTCTCTTTGCAGACTTGTGAATTTTGGCCCAATTGATCATGTCATTTATGAGTTCTTGTCCCATTTATTGATAAGTCTGATTCTCGACATCGTTCGATTGATTGATCGCCTGTTTTGATGTCGATTCCCCTCCATTTTATGTTTATTCCCTGCAAGAGGTTAGTAATCCTAGTGCTAGTGGAATATTTATTATTAAACATAAATATGCATTGCAAGCATTACTAGTTCTCCTTTATTTTGGTAGTATTGACGGTCAAAACTAATCGCTAACGACCGTCAACAACAGACTTGTAAGAACTGAACCAATCTCTGTTAATGCATATACGAAACGAACAAGTGGTATCAAGTATCCATTCATCATGATCAGCAACACAACTGTTGGTATTTCTTACGTCCACAGATAAATCCGCAAGCGCACGGAATACCGCTGTAGCACTTCACCTTCGGGTGACCCCAAAAGGATATCGAACTCAGGGAACGTGTGTAATTTAGCTAAGGCTAAGACTATCCAAGGACAACAACTGATGATAGGCAGGCTAGAGAGGTCTTCCTATGTGTTTTATTTACCTAAGCTAAGTTGAAGGTAATTTCCTATCTGTTGCTTCGGGCACCGACCCCTGCTGGTCTGCCAGCGTGGTTCCGGCTATAGCTCTATGATGTATCCGTACGTGGAGGATTACTGGGATGAGATTCAGGGCTGTCACCACCTGCCGCCTACCTCTGACAAATCCGTGGGATACACAACAAACAAAGGTAATCTCTAACCTAGACACCACATCTAAGTTATTAATTACTACTCTAATATTTGCTCAGGAACTTCCTTTTCTATCCAGAGTCCTAGAACTAGAGCGCTTAGTACGAATACTAAACAATGAACTCGCAAAGATGGAAATATATCTTACTCAGACCAAATAATTAAATAACATAAGAAAGGATCACGAATGCTTACTTAACAGAAGAAGTTCTCCGAACCCGGAGCAGAGTGTACCGACAGCTCCGGTACTCCTCCAGAATTCCTCCTAGGAAGCTACACTCGTCGAGGTAGAAGTCGGATGAGCGCCAAACTTCCGGGCACTCCTCTAGAGCTTCCCCTCACTCTATACCTTATTCTAGTGTACAAAAGATACAATAGAGCCTCTTGTAATTCATCTCAAAATTGTGTGTTGGAAATGAGAGTGAGCTCCTCCTTTTATAGGCAGGTATGACGGTTACAGCCTATGCGAAATGACCAAACTACCCCGGAACCGCCATCAGGAAGTAATCAGGGCCGTCCACATCAAATTTGGCGATCAACGGCCACCAAAAGGGTTCGGCCGAACCAGGGACGGCTCCGTTCGGCCCGTTTTTTGTCGTGGACACTAATTTTGAGGCCCTCAGCCCATTGGCATGATAGTTGGGCCCATTTGGAGTTGTTTAATTGACTTACGAGGCCTCCAATCCGTGTAAATGTGTCCTGAATGCGCGGAGGTGCAGTTTGTCACTTGACGGATGTGTTTTCTTCTCAAAATACCTGCATACACATATTTCACCAACACTAGTGGAAATCATTAGTAATAATACCTACCACTAAGTTGGATACCATGTTTTATTTCATTATATGTAGGTATTGACGGTCAGATATTATGATTTAAGGACCGTCAACAACAACCAGCAAAAACGACAAGACAGTCCCTTGAATCAGAGTTTTCAGCACCCGAGACGACAGAGGCCTTATCATCGGATTTCCTTTTCTCCTTATTCTGCAGTTTCCAATATTCTTCAGTGAAGTGATTTTTCTTCTTGCAGTACTTACAGAACTTCTTACCTCTGGACTTTGAATGACCTCTATCATTCTAGCTCTTGTCATGATCGTTGATGTCGTTGTAGGTTCTCTGCTCAGATCTGCCTCTGACCTGCAATGCTTCGCCCTTGGAGGACAACACGTCAGACTGAACCATACCTTTCATCTTTTCCCTATTCTAGAGTGCCTTATAAACTTCCGAAAGGGTTAGTTCGTCACGGCTTAATAGTATGGTGTCACAGAAATTTGCATATAAACTAGGCAGTTAGCATAACAGGAGAAGACCTAAATCTTCATCATCAAACTGTACCTCCATCGACACTAGGTTGGCAACAATCTCCTTGAAGACCGATATGTGGTTCAACACTAAACCAGTCTTCTGTAACTTCTGCGAGAATAACTTCATCTTCATATGCCTCTTACTGGTTAGATCCTTAGATCCATAGATCGATTCTAGTTTGAGCCAAAGTTCTACAGCAGTTCGTTCCTGCAACACTTCTTGCAAAATATCATTACATAGATGAAGTTGAATCAACGACAGAACCTTACAATCTTTCCGCTTCTTCTCAGCGGTCCATTCATCCTTCTTCTTCTTCCCGAAGCTTTCCAGCGCCTCATCAAGATCCGAAGATTGCACCAGAACAGCCCGCATCTTAACTTGCCACAGTGAGAATCTTGTCTTGTAGTCTAGCAGCGGTAGATCATACTTCATCGATGCCATCGCGGAACCCTCGTGTGAGAACAAGCTCTGATACCACTTGTTAGGAAACGATAGGCAAATAAACGATAAAGAAAATAGATCAATCACAGAAGACATGAGATTTAACGTGGAAAACCCTCCCAAAGCAGGAGAGAAAAAATCACGGGCGCCAGCTAGAAAAATATCTTCACTATATCGGGGTGAGGTTACAACACCGAACAGCGGCTTACAAGAAGTATATATGAAGGTGAAACCCTCCGGCGACAGGCCTCCACTTCGCTCCGGCAGAAGCTGGCCTTTATATATGTGAAAATGAATTTGGATCACAACTCAACAGGAACGAGTTCTGGACTTCTAGTCGCCTCGTCGACGATGAGCTAAAGGTTTAGGGCAAGGCGTATTACAAATGGGTTGATGGAGAGCAGGTTGGCAGGGGACGCTGGCTCGTCCTATGCTTGACGGAGGACGGCGGCGGTGGCGGCCAAGATGGCGGGCTCCGTCATCGGACGATGACATGACATAGAGAGGAATGGTCAACGTTGGAAGGAAGTGGAAGAAGGAAGATGAAGATCCAAGGGCAATACCATCCACGATGCATTCTAGCAAGAACACCCTCCGTTCAACCATGGCACTTATCGAAGCATTTTAGCGAAGCCAGCTATTTTTGATGGCACATATACCGATTTCTCCCTCTCAACCCCCTCCATGAAGACTTAAATAGTTAATTCATTTGTAATAAATCAATTCCATTACTGTAATGGGCAGTGTAGCCTAGTGGTTGCAGTGACTTGAGTAGCACCTAAAAGTCTTGAGTTCAAATCTCCATAGGAGCGAATTTCAGATTGGGTTCCTAATTTAAAAAGGTTGCATATATCCAGTTGATGCTCTCTATCACACCATCTTAGAGCAATTGCTATAAAACCTTTAAACTGTCATATAAACTCAAACAATAAGTTAGAGGAGAGAGAAGAAATCGTCCATTATGTAAAGGGTAATCTCAATATATAAACTTCAAAAAAGATCAAAGAAGAAGGTCAATAAATTGAAAGATAAAGAAGGAAAAAAATATTGTAGTCTATTAGGACAAATTGCTTGAGATAATATGTTGAGCGTGTCACTTCTTAATTAACTAATGAGTAGATAATGTGGATAAAACTGGAGATGATTATATTACCTTTACTTATAAAACTTGTTCTTAGATGTCAGCGGTGAGCCTATTTTGTATCTTGGCACATATCAGTAGCATCACTTTTACCATCTTTACATAATCCCTCTCAAAAGATTCACCGTTTACCACATGCTATGCATAAATTAAAACTGCACATTAAAAATAATCTGTTATATATGCGTGGCATTTTAATGAATTTTATCAATGGACTGATAACAGAAAACACAGTCAAATCTCGTAAATTTTGGACCATTCGATTGATTTAAGATTTACGCACACTCCCTAGCCCTAACCTCCTCCCTCTTATCCTTCTTCCTCCCTCTACGCCGCCAATGCACGACGATAAGCACACACTCCCTGCCTCCAGTTCCACCGCCAGCTGCCGAAACGCACAAACAGTGTCATTTGGCCCCTCCCCCCTTCCTCCTTCCCCTTTCCTCCCTCTTCTCCTCCTCAAGCCGACGGCAGCGAGGTACTCCCATCCTTAGCGTCTTTCTTGTCTCCGACGAGGGTCATCGGATCTATCACCTACAACCGTTATCAACATCAGTCCACCACCTGCTACCAACCTTGTGGCTTTGGCGCCGACACCTGTGCCTCGCAGTCCGCCTACTCCGCCGCCCATCATCAAGCCACCACCTCTCACTCTTGTGTCCATCTAAAGGCTGCGAACTCATTCTCTTTCCTTCTTCTTACTCCGATCTCTAAATCAGGACCATAATCCATATGTCCTTCTTCGGAATTCATGGTGTCTCCGGAGAAGAAGAAGAGAAGGTTGTTGGAGTTGAACAACAAGGGTTTAGAGTACGAGCCACAAAACTCATCCGATGGCCTAAATTAGGTAATATTTGGGGATGGATTTTTTATCGACGAAAGGTTAGTAATTCCGTTCCATAAACATCCATACGAATAAATTAAATGGAAATCATTCCCTAAATCTTTCATATAGCATTAACTTCTCTTTTCTCTTTTAGACGCAAAATTTAAAAGCTTATTAATTTCTACCACGATTTTATTATAAATAAAAGGAGACTCCAACTCTCGAAGGAACGAACCGAGAAAAGAAAACAGAAGAAAATCAAAGAAGCGGTGCGAGAAAGGGGAAAGAAAGGAGGTGCCTTTCCATGGCGGCCGAGGGTTCCAGCCGCGGCGGCGGCGGCGGCCGGAAAGCCTCCTGGCTGGGGATGTCATCGGAGGGCGGCGCGGCCAAGTTCCTGTCTGGCTTGCCGTCGCGCGGCAATTTCTCCTCGATCTCCGCCTCTTCCACTCTCGTACGCACGCCCAATCCCTGACTAAAACCCCCACAAATGATGTACTTTTTTTTTAATTTCCCTTTTGGCGTTAAGATTCTTGTTGAATTCTCATGGAGGGTGAGAGGATTCTGAGATGAATTTCTTTGGCTGTGATCTGCGCAGGGACGGCTCAGGGTTTACGTCTGCGAGCATGACACGGATCCTCCAGGTCAGTGGGAGATTCATTCTTGTAGAGATTTTGTAGTAGTATGTTGTATTTCTGTTAACTCAGAATGCTCTATTTTGCTAGCTTCTTAGGTTAATGTTTTAGGTTTTTCATGTAGTGGTTGTGGTGTTTTGTGTGTGGAGGCTTCGATTGATGGAAGCTGTCTTTAGGATTCCACATGTCCACTAGTATCTGTGGAATTATAAGTTTTTTTTCTTCTTCTTCTTCTAGGGTTTATGTGTATTTTGCTTAAAGTATAAAGTAAGACCGATGAGTAAATTCTAGTGTGCTAAAAAGCATGTACAAGTGTTGTTTTCACTGTTTAGGATTTGTAGCGAATCTAGTGTCGCTGTTTATTTAAAATGTCTGCACTGAGAATCTGTGCTGAGTTGCTCTTAGATTATGTGCCTCAATGCACATGAATTTTAGTTTTTCATCGCGATTCGTTGCACTCAATGCAGCCAGTATGACGGAACTTTGGTTCTTGGAGTTAATGCAGTTTCTTCCTTTCAATTTTCATTCATTCTTTTAGGTTAAGTTTTGGTAATTTAGTTGTAAATCTATGATGTTTCTAGATGAAACTACAGTAGATGGTTACTGCAGAAATTTCTTCCATAGAAAAGGTTCTTCCCAAGGGACTGTTGTTTCTGTTATACGCTGTACCAATGCACAATTTAGGCTTTAATGTTAGAAATCATGGAAACTCGCAGCTCTCCTATTTTACTGTGTTCTAGTCAAAACAAATTGAAATGGAGCTCTGCATTGGCAGTAGGTCTTGGGGATAGGAGTTGGTGGAGAATATCACCTTGATGGGTTGTTCACCTGCTTCATATGTTTTGTGGCTATAATTTGCTGGCAGATTCATTAAAATTTTAACTGTTTAATCTCTTTTCTGTTTAGAGGGACAAGTTATAGAGACCGATACAACAAATATTTTGATCAGACATCTCCAGCTAAAGAAAAAGGAGATGGATGCCAAAGAAGCCAAAGAGGCCAGAGATGCAGGTTCTAGGAACCAAGGGGAAACCGTCAAATGGAAAAGGTAAATCTGCCAAATTGACAGTATGTGTTTTACAGTGCCTTATTGGAGCATCCTTTTATTACTAATTACCATGTCATTCCATGCTTTATATGGACTATGGTACTCTTGTTACATATGAGATGGCTCATCCCTTGCAGCACCTTTCTATTTTATTTTGTTCTGGTCTTTTTCTATGGGTATTATGTGATTCATTAATTTTTAGGCCATGTATTTAGGGGTCTTACAACACCCATTTGATCTTGAAGCATAATGTAACATCCTTGCCCTAATTCCTGGGTAAGTCCCATGGAGTTTCAGTAAATTAATGAGCAGTTGCTGTTGGAATTTTCTGTGCTTAAGAAAGCTCTATGGATTTTCAGCATACCATGCTTTATTAGTTTAGTTGGTTTGCATACCTACATCAGTTTTCAACTAAGTCTCATATTTGTGAATGACTTTACCATTGGTGGAGATTGAAGAGCAGCTGCCATAATTATTGAATGGCCAAATTTGACCTGTCTAGCTTGACCCTACTTCAATGTCATGTGCTTATTGGGGCAAAGCAGGCTCTACTATTCTACATTTCTAGTCATATATGAAAAAAAAAGTTTATGAGACCGAGCCTTTTCCCCTGACAATTTCACTTGTTTTTTACATTATCGGCATTGACTGGATTTGAATTCCATAAATCTGATTAGTTCACAATGATTTGAATCCACTGCCAAAAGTAATATATGGATTTATGAACATGGTATTTTTCTTACCGGGTTACATATGATTGGTGAGCATGGCACTAAATTAGGTTGTTCAGCCTTTATGGTGTAACCATACAATTTGGCTCCATTCTGGGTACTAATAATTCTTTATGGAATGTTTTAGGCCTAGCACCCTTTAAAAATACCAAGTCTAAACTCAAATTGTTTAAAAGGAAAAGATGAGATAAGTTCCTATTAACAGTAAGTAGAAGCACCTGCCACTTTTTTTGCTTTTTCCTTTTGATCCTTTTTGCAGAGAATTTCTCATTTTGTTATTATAGGATGAATTGTAACTTGGTTTTATTCATTTCTGATGTATATACAAATATGTAGTTTTATTTGGAATCTGTCATGTCAACTTGGTGCACAAACAATACTAGATTACAAGTTTACAAATAAAGGAAGAGTTACAGCTGGTGAATTGTTGCTCTTCACTAACAAGTTATATGTTGCGTTCCACGACTTAGAAAGCTGGCTAGATTAGGTTAATCCATATAGTGTTTAATTTAGTTGAATTATAACATTCTTTTCCACAGCCTCTTGAATTATCCTGAAAAACCACACAAAGAGCAAATTATCCAAACTCTTCTAGTATATCTATTGATCTTTTTTTTTCTCGAAAAATTAGGAGGAATAGGCTTCATTTCATTAAGAAGAAAAGGAAATTTACACAGGAGAGAGACGGAAAGGATCCTCCACCCAAACACGTCACACAAAAGACACCACCAAAACCCCAACTAAGCACCTGGGGCAGCGACCTCACAACCCCAACTATTTTGTCATTTTGAATAAATTAGTATCTTGTACATTTGTGAGAAGAACAACAGATAGTTTTTATTTCTTCAGACTCTTTACAGGATTAAATCCTTTAGTAGAAGGTACCCACTGTAGTGGCCTACAGAACAACCAAGTACAACCCTAACCATAGAGGTAATCTCCCACCATGCAGCATTAAATTTGTGGGAACCTAATAAAACATATGAATCTTCCATTTATCCATTACAGATCATGTTACTGTTTGTATCATGCTATGAAGCCACATACGCTCTAAGCGATTTATTGGAGTGATTTCTTTCATACTTCTATGCTGATGCTGACGAATAGCTTGGCCATTCAGTGATCCAGGATTAATACAAGTTCTTTGAGTCATACCTACTTGTCCTCATGAAACTGTTTATCCTTCTTGGTTGCTTATTACTTGGGATGATATGACTATATAAATTAGGTCTGGAAGTAATTATTTTTCCTTTTTTGTTTGACTAGAGTTGCTCCCAGAAGTTTGGATGGCCAAAGTTCATCTAAAAGGCCCAATTTGGGTAGCTCCTCTGGGCTGTCTTCTGCTGGTAAGTTGTCTAAGTCTTAGTCTTCCAGTTTGGGCATTTGTGAATGTCTGATACTTGATAATGCTAAGATACGAATAGAGAGAATAATGTTTCATTTATTAGCATTTTGTTGAGGAAAAAGAGAGTAAAGGATATCAATTGTCCAGATTTACCTGAAGCCAACCCTTTTTCAAGCTTCTACCCAAAAAGAAAAAAGAAAGAAAGTGGCCAGAGTTACCACCTTCCATTGAACTTTTTGCCACGACTGTCCACTTGAATTTGTGAAGTGCCCAACCAGGAGGAATGCTTTGCCTTGTTCTAGGTTTACAACTTTACATGTTAAGCCACTAACTGTCTTTCTATTTTAAGGCCCCATTCGTTTGCTTAGTTTGGAGGAGCTTTTCAGCCGCTGTGAAATGAGAAAGCCCATTAGCACATGATTAATTAAGTATTAACTATTATAAACTTGAAAAATGGATTTATTTGATTTTTTTTAAAAAAAACTTTTCTATAAAAAGTTTTTGCAAAAACGCGCCATTTAATAGTTTGAAAAGTGTGCTGATGGAAAACAAGGAAGTTGTAGTTTGGAGTTGAAGAAAAGAACTAGGCCTGAATTTAAGATCAGTAATATGCTGATGCATGCTTTAGCATTTTAAAAGAAGACAAAAACATGCTCATGTACAGTCTCACAATTCCTCTAATAACTTTAATAAACTTTCATATTGCAGAAGAAGCGGCACCTGGATTTTCAGGTCACACACTACAGACATTCACAGTTGAGAGGTTGCGTGCACTTCTGCGACAGAGGGGCCTCATGACCAAAGGGAAAAAGGCAAGCAAAAATTGTCGTTCCAAGTTCTCTTGTTCTAAATTTAAGTGGTTTCATGCTTTTAATTCTGTCACTAGTATATGTATTTGAATTTTTGCTTGTAGAATTTATTTTAGTAGAATGTCAGCTAAGATGACTGGATATCCACCATTTTTGAACGTTTGGATGATTCTGTAGTGTCTGACACCTGATATTTTCCTAGGAAGCTTAGTCAGTTACAGAATTTGTCCATTAGTATTCCAAATGTTCCCTCAGGACTTATTCGTTGCATGGCATATGGTAGGATTTTGTTTCTGTAGAAGCTTCATAATTTTTTAGTGAAAGTTGGCTTTACAAAATAAAATGAATGGGATGATAAGAGCCTGAGCTTTGTCATGTAACTGCAGTATTGTGCCTAATAGATTATTTTAAGAACAAAATATAGAAGTTCCCAAAACAAGCTTCTTCTAGAGATGCTTGTGTTGTCAGTAGGCTGTTGCTTTTTTCTTTCAGTGGCAGCACATTATGGTTTTTGTTATATTTACACTATTTGATTTTGACGCCGCGGATGTGGCATTAGTAAATGAACTTTCTTGTTAATAAAGCATTGACAGTCTTCATTCTTGCACATTAGAAAATAACACAGGTTCCCAAATAAGAATTATTTTCACATAATTGATCATGCCTACATTGATCTACCTAGGCCATAATCTTTTGTGCGAGAAGTGTATTCAATTTTTTGATGTATGATGTCCTTCCTACTGCAGGATGAACTCATCGCTCGCTTAAGAGAATCACAGGACTGATCTAGAGAAAGCTCGTGCCGTACTCTCTTTGTAGGTTGATGCAATGTGTTTCCTGATTTGCTATGTCAAGCTTTGCTGGGAGCAGAATGAGAACCAGGCTTCATCTGTTGGCTGGATGTTAAGGCTCTAGGAGATGTAGTCACTTAGGTTGGGCCTTGAGAACTTGTGCCTAATTGCATTAGCTTGTCAGAAATTTGGGCTTGGGTTCCCTGTTTGTTAGGGCTTATCCAGTGCTTTACTTGGTACATGTAGAAGGCTAATCTGGCAGTGTTTGTAACCTTTTGTCTCATACTGGAGGAGTTACCATGCTAATTTACAAGCATAGTTAAAAGCTAATCGTACCATGTTTGACCAATTGAGCTATGGAAGAAAGCATAGGCGTGAACCCAGCTCAGAAGTGAATGGCAGATAGCAAAAAAGAATAGACTTGGAAATGGAAAAAAATGGAGCGAAACAAAGGCATACAAATTGGAAAATCAGCAGGAAATGTGCTGATTACTCGTATCGATTGCTTTAGGAAATATCGCAGTCTTGAGCAGATAAATTCTTTTTGTGTGTGTGATCTCAATTCTACATTGTGTTAGGTGCAAACATCACTTCTTTAACCTAATGCTTCCTGCAACTCGAGCTGTTTTATTGGGTGGCTGCAAATTGCAATTTACTACTTATCTTCCAACTTATAACCCTGAAAGAACAGCATTACAGAGGCCGTTTCTTCCTATGTTTGCCCCTTTATTTCTTACTCCCTCCGTTTCACAATGTAAGTCATTCTAGTATTTTTCACATTCATATATATCTATCTAGATTCATTAATATCAATATTAATGTATAAAATGCTAGAATGACTTAAATTGTGAAACGAAGGAAGTATATGCTTTGCTGCGAGATAGAAAATATGGAATACAAAGGAGCCTCAGTAAACTAGAAGCAAACAGTCGTAGAGATGGTCCAAAGTAGTGGTCATCTGTCAATTGTCATCCTCTCAGATTTTAAATTTTTTGCTGATATTTTTTTTCTGATTTTAAATGTCATCTGTCAATTGTCATCACTTATAAATCTTTTGCTGATTATCTTTGTATTTTTTTTCTATGACAAATGGAATAGTTTCAACAGAAAATTAGACAAAAGACAGTACAATCAAAATAAAATTGGGTTTTACTCCCTCTATCCCATATTAAGTTCACTTTTGGTTACTCTCATTCTTAGTAATCATCGCATTGGAGTTTGTGAAAGTAGGGAATAATTAAATTGAATGTAAATAAAGTGGGGAATAATTATATTGGGATTTGATAAAGTAGGAGCATTATAGTTTTTTTAGTGTTTGTATTGGTATGTGTGAGACCGTTGAAAGATTTAACTTATTTTAGGATGGAGATAGTTGTAATTATAAACTAGCATATTATCAGTAAATGACAGTTGGGAATAAAAGGTCTCCTTCTCATTGGTGGTGTATAGCTTTTGGCATTATCAACTGTTCAACTCCCTGTCAGTCAAGTTTGTCACCTTTTTCTTTTGTGTTGTGATTATTGATTACTTCTTATATTTGTTATCTATGCAAACGCTTTGCACAAACATAAAGCTGTCGCAGTTGGCAGAATTTGTGTTGCTTCTGTGCCATTGAAAGTTTCAATCAATTGGCATCACTGACTGCTACACTGCAGCTGTGCCTGTTCTTTTCCATCTAGATCTAGAATCGGATGTAACATATCCTAATATTATAAATCGGTACTGTGTTGGTTTTTTATGGGACGAAGGGAGTACACTTCTTCTAGCTACTAAATGCTATATTTTTCTTAAAAAACTTTCTACATATATATTTCTTAAAGTTATTATTTTAAATCTATTTTTTAACTTTATAATAGTTAATTTATCCGTTTGTACCTCTCGAATCATTCATCTATTAAGTATTCCATTCAGGTCAAAAGAAGACACCCAATTGAAGTAAAACATGCTAGCTGTATGATACTTTATAATATATGATTAGTGTATTTTGCTTGCACTTGGATGAAGGGGCTATTTTAATATTAGAAAAGATTTTGACTAATGGTGATGCCTCGCTTCGGGATCTGCTCAAAATATGTTTCTTCTTTTCTAAAAATTGTTTTTGGGTACAGATGGACCGTGTAAACAGATCATTGTTCAAAGCCAACTAGGAAAGTAAAATAAAAATTATTTACATGTTAAATGTTAATGACTAGTTATTGACTGCTGATGAATGTGTTTAACATGTGAATTATATATTATGAAAATATTTCTAATAATAAATCTAAAAGTATAAATTTTATGATGTTAAACTATATAAGTTTATAGAAATCTATGGTCAAAGATTAAAATGTTACTTAAAATAAAAACAATCCTAGGACGATAAATAATTTGAAATTGAGGGAGTACCGTGTTTGTACTCTAGCAGTCTGACTCTAAATAATTGAACAATCATGAAAACTTGGCCAGAGAACACAATCCAATAAGTAAGGCCCCCAAGCTTAAAGTTATTCCAAATAATGTATTTGACTGATCATTCTGCAAGCAGTGAATATATATATATATATATATATATATATATATATATAATTTATTTGGTGCTCTATGGTGCCCGGGCTACATGATTCAAATTGGGTATATACTCAATTCAAATGAGTATGAAATTTTTAAAATGTTTAGGTATTAACATTAACTACTTTACTAACTAGTTCAAAACAAGTTTAAACTAAATTTAAACTTGTTTTTGTTAGATTTTGATTCTAGGTATATAGGATCCAATCATATAATTAGTTGGGTATGTAATCATGGATTGTGAAATAAAGTTAAATTTGAGTTGCTTTGTTTATAGGTATAGGTATGAATCGAATTCTTATAACTAGGTATATACTCATAATTTAAAAATTTTGAAAAATTTAAGTGAATTTTTATATTTTATACCATGGTGCCCCATATGGGTGTCCTATATATATATATATACATACGTATATACGTATATATACGTATATACGTATATATATACGTATATATATACATACGTATATATATATACGTATATATATATATACATATATACGTATATACGTATATATATATATATATATATGAATCTCAAGTGAAGTCAATATAAGAAAACGTTTTAGAATCAAAAAAAGAAGAAGAAAGAGAACATTTCAATCTGCAAATTTCCCTCATGTACTTCTTGTTTCATGCATTCCATTCCATGTTACTCCGTGAACATTCCTGATCATCCACACTATTTGGCATTGTATTTCTCTGACCAATGAGATCACGACAAGTGCAAACGAAAAAACTGGCAACATCTACATATGCTCTCCCATGTGCATTTTGCAGTTTTGACTGCATCAATCCATCCAACACAAACACTGTATATCTTCATCTTGTGCTGCCATTTCAGTTTTTAGGAGTGGTCAGTCCTGGCTTGCACAGAAAAAAAAAAAGACCGTGAATGGTCACTCACAGGTGGGGCCTAGCCGCCTAGGACCAACCAGCCAAACCCAGCATGAGGAAAGCCACCCATAGATATAGCAGCCTACTTACACATAAAAATAAGAGCTTATCATAATAAGATAAGACATGACTAGAAATTACATATTCAGCTTACCAGGGTTTAAGTCCTAAATTCAGTGCATTTTTCAAAAGAAATTCTAACACTTTCCGAACGAATCATCTGAAACAACACACCTAGAACTCTCATCTCGAGCTGGCTCAAGCGAGATTATAAACCCTCATTGGTACTCGTGAGCTTCCATTTCAGTTTTTAGGAGTGGTCAGTCCTTACTTGCACAGGCGAAAAAAAAAAAGGCCGTGAACAGTCACTCACAGGTGGGGCCTAGGACGATCCAGCCAAACCCAGCGGGAGAAAAGCCACCCATACACATAGCAACCTACTTACACATAATAAAAATAAGAGCTTATCATAATAAATGAGCCATTGGTTATATATTCAGCTTATCAGGATTTAAGTCCTAAATTTGATGTATTTTTCCAAAGAAATTGTAACACATTCCGAACGAACCATCCGAAACACCTGAAACTCTCATCTCGAACTGGCTGGGGACGTCCAAAATCCACGAGACTCGAGTGAGATCTCGCGACATCATAAACCCTCGTTGGTAACAGTTTACACCAATTTCAAGACACGTGTATAAAAATATGCACGCGGCTACTACGAACACGGTGCGTGTGTGGTTGTGTGCGCGCATCGTCCAGAGCGAAAAGTACACTCCATAAGAGAGGCTGGGGATTAGATGATAAAACTAAAACTAAACAAACAGAGCCTGGGCTGTGGGCCATTCTTGGCTTGGATTTACTGGGACAGTTCTTCCCTCTTGGATCAGGAATTCAGGAGGGGGGAGCTTTTGGCCGAATTGATCAGGAAAGATGCAGCTAGCTGCAGCGTTGCGGTGGACCACCGGACGGCCGGCGACGACCACTGGTTGTACCGTGGTGATGGCATGTCCCGGCATGGGAAGCTAGCAAGTGCATTTCAGATTTTTCCAGGTCCCCTCTTCTGCTCTGTTGCTGTTGCTGTGTGTGTCTCTTTGTTTTTTATGCTTGTTCATCGGTCATATGCTAAGGGAATCTTTTAATGCTGATATATGAAGGCCCATGTGTTAGAGCAGGTACAATAGCAGGCTATAAGCAAGTTATAAACATATTTTAAAGAGATAAAAGAAGATAGAGAAGAGCAGCGGGCTACAAATCTGTAGCCAACTGCAGCACGGACTCCAAAACGTAATGCGTGTATGACAGGTAGGACCAGACATTAATAATATAGTAAGAACTATTGTATGAATTGGCTATAGATAAATTGGAGCTAGTAGTTGGCTATACTATTAAACTTGCTCTTAGTGTGGGTGGGTGGGGGTGGAAGAGTCTTCTCTCCAAGAGTAGGACTATCATTTTTCTAGTGGTTTTATAGGGTTTTTCACCAATTTATTTTTTCACAGGTTTGGAAAATAGTTTTTCGAAATCTAAAATAGGCCTGAGATTCAAGATACTGGGGATAAATACGAACTTCATTATAGGTTGCTAAGTGTCATGTGTAAGATAGTATATGAGTTGGCAGCTCTTAACCACAACATACCATGTTGTAAGCTAAAAGATTTGTAAAATAAGATTGTTCACTTTTTTTTTTAGTATTATCAAAAGTTCACACTTAGTAAGATAAATCAGGTGGCTATACAGGCATAGATGCCACACGAACAAACGGAGAAAATTTTTGTACATTATATCTAGAAGAGGCAGTATGTTGAACCACATCTTGGATTAGGAGGGTGGCCGGCTGACTCAGCACCAACGAGTGCCATTGTTCGTTGCTGTAAACCGCTCTTACATGCTTCATCTTGGTTT